GTTTTGTGCAGCGAGCTGAGGGGCGTATTGTAGCAGGTGAAGATAGGAACTGTTGGACATCGGAATCGCCAGGAGCGAAGTTCGGAGTCTTCAAGCTCGGAGGTTTTTGTAAGAGAATAATAACAACAGCAACAACCGTATTTTTATTCCATTAAGGAGTGGAAGATGGCAGCGAACATGTACAGGGTTGGAGGTAAGTTTGATGGTTCCAAAACTGCACGGGGGTTGTAAAGGGGTGTGGTGTACGAAACGGGCGATCCGTTTAACATGTTTTTTTTTAAAGGATATTTTGCGTCCCAACTTTGGCCATTGGAAATAAAATCTACTTCGCACATTCCCAGATACACCGCCGCCGAGTCGCCGGCGTTATACCGGAGCGCCAGGAAAATAAATAAGAGCGAATAAATTGAGTCGTTTCCCCCCTCTCTTTCATCTCCTCAGACGGAGCCATTTGTGTAACAGTGAGCAGGATTATAATACATCACCGCTGCGCTCAGGCTGGAATGCTGCTTGATGCTGTGCTGAAAAGATTAATCGGGTGCAATTACATAACTGATGTTTATTTAAAGAACAGGAAAATATCCAGAAATGAATGTTGGGAAAGGTGAATTTCCTCTCGTTCCTGCACATTTTGTCACGGAACTATTGTCCAAAAGTTTTGCTCAAACGCACGTTGTTGTATTTTATTATTATTATTAGCGGCTGTGGGCTGGCTGGCTTTGAAATGGCATTATCCGATATTTGTGGGGGGGTTTTACGCGTGCCTCCAAAACCGTGTTAATAGTCTTCTCGGACACCAGCGAGGAGGGTTGTTGGTGCAGAAGACAAACGGGGAAAAAAACAACAACGAATCCCGTCTTCTTCGCTCCTGCTGTCGTTATATAATGACTGTGCCATCGTGTATCACAAAAAAATAAGGGTGAAACGAGGCCACCGAACTGGCATTCTAATGGCGACAATGGCGAGACTTGAGAGACAGGAGCTTAACATACAGGCTAACATTAAGACCCGGTACACAGCATAAAGCATTTGGATACATGATGAGTGCTGTATCTTTTGTGTGTGTGTGTGGTGCTCTCGATATAGAGCTTCGCTTGGTGTTACCCGTGCAAGACTACAGTCTGCGGCATGGTATACTTTAATAGAAACGTAGTCGCCCACAGACAAGTGGAGTCTATAGTAAAAGGGGAGGGGAATAAGACAAATATAGGCTGCTGCTCAGGAAACGAGTGGACAATATGGAGGGATTGTTGTTATTATGACAGCATACTGTAAAAAAAAAAACCCGAAGCTGCTTGAGAATTTGACGGTTAAGAATGAATTGCAGCTGTGCTGGGCATCTCAGCGAATTGCTTCAGTACACAAACTGCATTGAATTACTCCACGTAATCTTTACCAAATGCATGCATGCCCGCCCGCGATCTGTAGATTGTTTTTGATGGTGGCATTCAGAAATCGCACTCCATAACACCGCACCACTCCATATAAATGCACTTTGTGTGTGTGTGTGCACATACAGTATAACACACGTGTGTGAGCGAGGGTGTACGCATTCTGTGCGTAGAATCCGATAGGTGATTCTGGGCCACGGAAGGTTAATGGCGTTCAGTCTGAGTTGGAGTCCGGAATCTCGGGTCAAATTATTATACTCTTCACTCTTGACCCTCATTCCCAACCGACGAAATCAATGAATGGAGATGTTGCGGAGTGGACAGAGGGCCACCAGGGGGCGAAGCTGAGACCCTTCAAACTCATTTCACTTTCTGGCTGGGCTTCGCGTCGGAACAGGGTTTCACAGAGGTGAGAGGCCGGAGAGAGCCCCCTAAACGATGATGTGTCCTTCCGAGATCAGTCTGTTCCGATAGTAAATCTTCAGAAATAGTTTACAATTAATAATGGGAGAAGGGGGAAAAAATCAGTCTGCTCTCTGTGTTCTAAACTTTGCCAGTAGTTAATTACTTTTATGTGAACAAGTCTGCAGGAGAGCTTCAGGTGCAGACCATTGACTGGTAACCATTCACAGGATGGCACAAGTCCCTAAAGGTGTTCTTCTTCAGAGAGAACCTGTGACGTTTAAATACCCTTTTTTAAACATGACTTTTAAAGCGGCACTGGAGTGTGTTTTGCATTAAAATAATCTATTTTTATACTTCTTGTTAATTTTTTATGGTTATTTGAAACTGATCTTTTCCTGTGAAGAGGGAGATAAAGAGTACCGCTTTGTTAAAAAGATTACATTCTTATTACACATAATCCATCTTAATTATGCTTAACAGTTCATTTTTGCCTGGGTTTTGCATCACTGTTACAGTCTGAACAGCATACTAATAGAAAGCTCAAGGGAAGCAACGCTACCCCTGTTTCTTTTTTCTGCACTGGAGGGGAGCACACAGACTTATCATGTAGCAACTTTTTTTTAGTTTTGTTAATGTCATTTCTTAAAATGCTGAGAGCTCTGGTGGGTCTGCCCAGTGCTTATGTGCTACGTTACTTCACGAGCAGTTTTGATTTCTGTCCTACAACAACATAGACATGCAGGGACCCTTGGGTGATGTAGACCCACTGGGGGATGACCATCGGCCATGAGGCATGAATGGGTGTACTGGTCAGTGGGGTGCAGTATCAGACAGGACCACTGAGATGTGCGCTCCCACTGTGTGCTCTCCTGCTCATTTATATAATGCAAATACCAGGGATCATCATCGGTCTATATTCATAAAGCAGCTGCCAGATTATGTGCACAGAACCACAGAACAGTGCTAATCCAGCCTTTTTTAGAAGGGAGTTCGGAATACAAACTGTAGCTAAATTTCATGCCTTTACCTCTGTGTCTGGTCACATATAGAAGACTCTGGGCATGTGTACTATTCCTTGTGTTCAATGCAGGCCAGCGTTCAATTTCTATATTACTCTTAAGTGGCTAATGTACAGTTTGTCTGCTTTGTAAGGCGCCTGTGCAAACAAGGGCAAGTTTCATTTTTAATAACGTTTTTTTTGCATCGTGTGAAATGCTGTGGTTGAATGGGGAGGGAGATGTGATTTCTGTGCTTCTGTGTTACTACGATCCTGGATTTGAATGATCTTTGATTCGTTACTTTTTGAACATGGTGTCTTGCAAGGTGCTGTCTGCACCTTCTGCTGGTCTGGTCAGAGCAGCTCCTACACACGGGGCACACGTCATGCATGTAGGCTAGGGTTCTGGACCTGGGACAGCCAGGTTGTTCTAGGCTCAGGTGAGCGTGCTGCCGTTGAACCTTTGAGTGTCACTGAAATTGTTTTAGTAAGATTTCCCGCTGTATCGATTTGTACAAATCGATCTTGCTTTGGACTTCAAGCCAAATCGAATAAATAATAGAATAAATGCAAGAAAACCCGAAGTGGTGTTCAGGTGCGGTGGTTAGGTTTGCGGCCTTGCAGCGCTGGGGCCCTGGGTTCAGCTCCTGTGGTGCTGTCTGTGTGGAGTTTGCGCGTTCTCCCTGTGTTGGCGGGGGTTTCCTCCTTGTGCTCCTGGTTCCTCCCACAGTCCAAAGATAGAAAGGTAGATTCATTATTTCTGGATAGATGGCCGTGGTGTGAGTCTGTGTGTGCCCTGTAGTAGACAGGCATCCTAGCCAGGGTGTATCCAGAGTCCGTAGCTTCCTGGGATAGGCTCTGGCTTTCTGTAACTCTGTATCGAATAAGCAGCTGTATCACCCTACAGCTCACAGCTGGCAGCCCAGTGGAGCCCAGCAGGTGAGAGCCTGGCCAGTACCTGGATGGGAGACTCCTGGGGAAGCCAAGGCTGCTGCTGGAAGAGCTGTTAGTGGGACCAGTAGGCTCACTCACCCTGAGGTCTGTGTGGGTCCTAATACCTCAGTACAGTGATGGGGACACTGTACTGTCGAAAAGACGCTGTCCATCGGATGAGATGTCAAACAGAGGTCCTGACTCTTAGTGATCATTAAAATTCCCTGGGCATTTCTTGAAAAGAGTAGGGGTGTTACCCCGGTGTCCTGGCCAAATTTCCCCCTGGCCTTTACCAATCGTGTCCTCCTAATAATCCCCCTCTCTGAATTGGCTTCATTACACTGCTCTCCTCCCCACTGAGAGCTGGTGTGTGGGGAGAGTACTGGTGCACTCTGGCTGCCGTTGCATCATGCAGGTGGGGCTGCACACTGGTGGCGGTGGAGGGGATCCTCATGACCTGTAGAATGCTTTGAGTGGAGTGTGCAGAAAAGCGCTGTATGTGTAAGGATTATTATTAAGGTGATGGAATGATGTGATGAAAAGCTGTGTTCAAAGGAGAATCCACAATATTTTTTTAAAACACAAGAAATCTATTTTGTTTCTGCCCGTCTAGCTCATTTTATCATGGCTAATTCCTCACAGGATCTCCTTTTAGCAGTTTTCTTGGTGGGGGTGAATGTATCGTCTTTGACCGCGTGGTTGGGTTACATGTTCCATACTCCCACAGCTCTTTGTGTAAACAAGTGACTCGATTTCTTACTGCATTTCAAATTCTCCATGTCAGACTCCTTGACCGTGACTCTGACATTATTTCCTTTTTCTCTCCGATTCAGATTGAATTGCAGTTGGGTTCTGAAATTGACTTGCATCGAAATTAAATCACGCCTGTACTGCCTGTGTTCAAACTACACCAGTTATTGTAGGGACTTCCTATTACATTTCTGGTAAATGGTTTATTCACGGGTAAGACAAGTTTTATTTTGCTTTGCACTATAAGTTAACTGCGAGCTATGGACTAACCGTGCAGTTTCACACTATATCCCGTACGCCAACCTTAGGATTTCAGATCCATTTCCTCGTTCGGTATTCACCTTAAAAAAACGTACTTTGAAACAACACCGCCTCTCTTTAAACGCAGTCATTTTACGCCAGCGTCAAGTTTTATTAAATATAATTTCGACAACTAATAGTAGATAGCGCGATAGATTTATGTAATACATCTAATTATATAAATTTGTCCATCCAAAAGGCGGGGGGGGGGGGACTGGTGTTTTGCATCACCGTGAACAACTACAAAAAAAAAGTTATTTTTTTCCTCCTCCTTATACATCGTATTTAAAAACGCGGTCAAACAAAGGGGAGTAGAAGACGCTCAGCCGGGACCAGAATGGTTAATACGGGCTAAGGACTGCTGGAGGCTTGGGTCTACGTCACGCTGAGAGACAGCGAGATCCGACGGCGGGACACACGTACGCTTCTCCTCCTCCAGACACACCGGCGAGCCGGAGGACGGAGTCCCGACCTGATCAACCGATCGAACCGTTCGCGGCTCTCCCGGCTCTCCAGGACCGGCGGCGGCCGAGAGCGATGCGACGGGGGTCCGGCCTGTGTCGGGACCGATCGCGTTAGACCCGCCGGGCAGCTCATCTCGGCGCGCCGTAGCGCCTGGTAATCCGGTTCGCGTGTTGTTACCGCCGGGGTGGAAGATGGCAGCGAACATGTACAGGGTAGGAGGTGGGTAAGTTTGGAAGCTTCATCATTTCAATTCATTTTTTTGGGGGGGTGGAGACTTTTTGGGGGGTCCAGTCGTCGGCCAGCCCGTATTTTCTCCCATAAAACCCCGAAAAGTAGCCCGGCGCTTTTGGCAGAAAGAGACGCCGGCTGTCCCCTCACACGCCGCCGGGTAAAGTTTGGCGCAGTTTTCTTCTGTGGTTCGCATTTGCTTCCACTTCGTATTTCGTGCGGCGGAAGTTGACTTTATTTTTATTTATTTTTTTAACGCGGCGTGACATAGTTGGCGAACGGAGCTTGACTTTCTGTCGGGGTTTGTTCGTGATGTTGGCTCAGCTGTCGGCGAGTGCGTTTCTGCTCAGACCCTCTCGACTACGGCCTGTTGATGTGGTGAGGTAGCCAACAAATGGCAGGATTAAAGCGTGGCCCATTATCATCATTATTGTTGTTGTTGTTGTTTAGTTCTTACAGTCATCGGCGCCTTTTGTTGTTCTTCCCGGGACGTGCAGTCCAAGACGACGTTGTAGGTCGAGGCTTCACGGCGTCGTGTCCGCTTGACAGACCGCCGACTGACAGCCGTGAATTGCGCGTCAGGCTCGGCCGGGAGGAGCTGAGAAACTGCTCCGGACTCTGGGGCAGGAGGCCAGCGTGTTCGAACCGGGTCCGAACTGGGCTGCGGGGAACGCCGGTATCGGATATGGCAATGGGCAGTGAAGTCTTGTACGGGGGTCCGCTCTCGGTAAAGGCATTTCGGTGGCTATGTTGGCATCTAGCTGTTTCTGCGAAACTCGGCACATTCCTGTTAGAAATAAAACAAATAAATACATATAAGTGACAAATGTCTAACTGTCTTTATCTGCAGCAGTATGCAAGCAGACATGAATTAACGTTACCAGAACAGCTGGTCCACTTAAAGTCTTTTACCAAGTCTAGCATTTTTTTTTAATACCCTGTATAGGAATTTTATTTCAGGATTGGCCAAAATCTCTTCTCCCAGTCTGGGTAAATGAGGAGATTCGTGTTTCTGGGCTGCTCTGTTGGTTCATGTTAAACGTCCTGTGCTTGCGGTGAGCTCTCTTCCTGTCGCTGAATACATCACGCCCCAATATTTTAATTCTTTTCTGTGTGTTTTTGCCACGGACACCCACACACACATGCATATCAATCGCTGCACTCTTTGCGTGTGGGAGAGGCAGTTCGAACCTGCTGGGTGCCAGGCAGCGGGAGCAGGTTGGAGATTCGGCTGCAGTGTGCCAGCGTGCTGGCAGGGCTGTACTGCGGACAGATGGAATGCCTTGGAACTGGGGGTACAGCGTGACCCTGAATCGTGACACACCTTTTGCCTGGTCTCTCAGAGTTGCCAAGAGCTGTTAGTCATGCTTCTCAACTTGTGATCCCGTTAAGTCCATTGCACAGTTTCGCTCCAAAAAAAAGAATGCAGACCCGGTGCCGCTTGAGATGCAGTGAAGGCGTTCCAGTAAACATCTGCACAAGCAGCAGAATTGCCCGGGGAAACTCCTGCTGTGCCACAAAATCAGTTAATGGTTGTCGGTGCTTTGCCAGACGCAAGCCTGTCTGGGATAGATTGGGATAGAATGTTGCTCCGAACCAGGGCTGTAATTCAGGAATGGGTGTTCGACAGGCCTGTGAAACGAGGTGAGGTCCTGTCTGCGATCTGGTGTCTTGGAAGAGCAGGTAGAGGTAGCCCCCTGATCTCCGGAGGCCTACTGTGAGGTTGAAGAGAACGGTTTATGGCTGCTTCTCTCTGTTCCCTCTCCACGGCTTGTTTAACACTTATCCGTGGGACGGAGAAAATATTTTTTTTGTATATATATATACTCACTGGTTACTTACAGAGAATAAAGCTGTGGATTTTGTCCAAGCCAATGTAATAGCACATTCGTAGTAGGCTAGTAGGAAGGTAAATTTATTTTTATTGGGGGGGGGTTCTAAAATCCAATTATCTGTTTTTCATTTAATAAAATTAGAGAGCAGTGGATTGCTGCCCCATCGTGCTTGGAGATCTCCTGTGGAGAAAACCCCAGACACTGGTAAGCTATCGCAGTGCAGAGGGTGATGCTCAGGAATGTTAGGTGACAGTATGTGCTCATGTTACAACAGCAGGAACCTAAAGGCCTTTTACCTCCTTTGAGGTGTCCTCTTGAAAATGGGTTCAGTCTGCTACATTTCAGACTCACACGCGGGACAGGGGAGAAGTTTGGAAATTGTGGTATGCCAGCTTGGGGTTGTTATTGGCAGCACAGTCGGTCCATTTCAAGGTTTTGTCAGTCGTCCGGTTTTGCCTTGGTGCTGCCGAGGTTGTGCTGTGAAGGCCGAGGCCTCGGCTGCAGGGGGCTGGTGTTTCCTTATTGACGTCTCGGGAGGCGAAGGGCTGTAGACCCCACTGGCTCGGCTGTGGGCAGAGGGGGCAGGAGGAGGAGAAGGGAACTTGTGCTTGTATGTCAATCAATCAATCAATCAATCAATCAATTGATTAAGGTTTATTTATCAATGCACGAACAGTACAGCAGACAGCGGTGTTGTCGACGATGAAATGCTTTGTCCGCGTGCTCGTTAAGAGGGATAGAAGAGTTGAAGGACGGGAATTTACAGGGATTAGATCAACATTAGGATACAATAAATTAAACAATTGCAATTTACAATACGAGTTACGGATTGTGCAACAGTAACACGAGGACAGGAGGTATTTAGCGCTCTTCGTATGTGTCCTGAGAGCGCAAGAGGCAGGAGGGCGCCGGTGCCCCCTGTCAGTTCAAGGAGGTTGGTCTGTATACTGCGGTACCGTTTCCCGGATGGTAGTCAAGAGAACAGGTTGTGGTTAGGGTGCCTGGGGTCCCTGAGGATAGACCCAGCCTTTTTGAGGCATCTTACAGAGTAGATATCCTCTGTTCGGTAGCATGCAGCCAGTAGTGTTTTGAGCCAGTTTCTCCACCCTCTGGAGTACCTTGCACTCTCGGGCGGAAGAGTCACCACACCGGGCAGTGATGCAGCCAGTTAGGATGCTTTCAGTGGTGCGCCTGTAAAAATGTGCTAGGACGTGTGACAGCATGCACGTTGCAGTGGGTCCCAGCTGTCAGGCAGTAAGGAGGTGATGTGTGCTTTGGGCAGCTGCAGGAAGCATTCCATGATGATGGCTGTGAGTGCATCGGGGCAGTAGTCGTTTAGGCAGTTGACTGCGGTTGTCTTGGGGATCGGGACGATGGTGGCTGTCTTGAAGCAGGAGGGGACTGTGCATTGAGTGAGGGAGAGGTTAAATACGTCCGTGAAGATGTCCGCTAGTTGGTCTGCGCAGGCCTTCAGGACACGGCCGGGGATAGCGTCGGGGGCCGAAGCCTTGTGTGGATTAGTCTTTTTAAAGACTCCGTACACGTCGGCTCTGGAGACAGACAGTGGGTGTTCCCCCTGGTTTACTGGGATTTCCTTAACTGATTCCGTGTTATGGACTTCGAACCATAAAATGAATTTAGTTCATCAAGGGGAAAAGTGGTCTGTCGTGCTGCTGTGTTTTGCTTTGTGATCTGTGATGGTGTGGGTTCCGTTCCACGTGTTCTGAGCGTCCAGGGCGTCCTGATAGTGTGATTCCAGTTTTACCCTGTAGTATGTGTAGTGTATACTTGGGTTTTTCTGAGATCGGATCTGGATTTTCTGCACGTGTCCTCGTCACCGGTGTTGGTGGATGTTGTAGCTCTGAGTTTAGCTCGTAGTTTAGCGATGTGCGAACAGTAATCCTGGGGACAACATCTTTCATCCGTTTGCTGATATAGCTAGTAGCATAGTCCCCGTACAGATTCATGTCGTTCCAGGCAGCTTCGCGCCAAATCCGCCAGTCAGCGGTGGCAAAGCAGTGACTTAATAGAGCCCCATTCCTCTGACCAGCGCTGGGTTGTCCCTGTTGCAGGCTTCTCCTGCTTGAGACCTCCTGCCGAAAGGAGGTCGGGGGAGGGCTTTGTAGCCATCCTGGAAGGGAGTGTAAACGTTGTCCACCGTGTTTGTTCCGCGTGTCGGGCAGTTTATATGCTGATGCAGGGTTGTGCATGATTTTCTCGAGGTGCGCGCCATTGGAAGTCCCCCGCTGTGATGAATGTGCCCTCGGGGTGACTTTTCATGTCTGCTTAGGTGTTCATGTAGTTCCTCCAGAGCTGTGGGAGGCCTTTCCTGGCCACGCGGGGGGCTGTGTCTCGGAGGTTCTTCAGGGTGGGGAGTGGAAGGTCTGCTCGTGTAGGGGGGGGGGGCGCGCTGGGGGGCCTGATACCTGAGCTGCCCCCCTGCCACACCTCTGATGAACTCGATTTGCCCGTGGAGACGTGGGGGTCAGCCAGGCTGGAGACGGCATCAGGAACTTCAGTGTCTTGAAGCTGGCTGGCAGTAACACGTCCTTCTCTCGTCCTTTTCTATGCTATGGAAGATTGCAGAGCAACCTATGACCATGTGGCAGTAGATTTGGGTTGGTACAAGCAGTTCTTTTTGTGATGTACTGGTGTGCCCCAAGCCTGCTGGCATAGGCTCTGACTCCCTTGTGACCCTGAGCTCCATGAAGCATTTGGAAAATGGATGGATGTAGTTCTTTATCTCATTCCTCCTTTCATGCCCTATTGCATCACTGTAACTTGCCATTAGTCTAAGGCCTGAGCGTGTTCAGTTTTGTCTTCCCACGAACAAGCCACAAAAAGGGCCTTTTCAAGCAGTGCTCTCTTGGGCATTACAGGAATATCGCATGTTCCAGACGAACAAAGTGCCCTGTGTCATTGTTTAAACATAAAGGCTCAGACGTCTAGTATGCTGAGCAAAGTTGCAAAGACCCAGATTTCCGAGTTGATTTCCCTTCCTTTGTGCTCGGTGGAACATCTTTTGTGTCAGCGATCTACTGCAGTACAGCACCCGAAGGCGATCGCTGACAGAACTCGCCCTGTGTGTGTCGGGGGGGGGGGGTTGTACAATTTCAATGCACAACTCGGAAGTTAGTATGCCAGCACCTGACTGGG